CAGGCGGATCTTGAGTCGGAATGGCGCTTGCGGTCTTTCGAAGAGCTCCCGGCCATATCGCCTGAGGCACGCCCACGCTCCTCTGCTCCTGTAGTTGATCTCCCGGGTGAGGTCGCCATGTTCGTTGACGAGGCCACCGAGGTACCGGAACTCGGTCGTCTGGGCGTATTTCTGTCCCGCGGCTTCGATGGTCAGTGGTGGAGGCGGGGGGGGCTGTGATGTTGTAGTCGGCTTGTCCTTTGCGCGCATCAGGAGCGTCTCCATCTTCTTCTCCGACACCGTTAGCCCGAACTCCCCGAACACCTCAACGATGATGGTCATCATTCTCGCCAGTCCTTCTGCAGACCTCGATACGACGCCGGCATCATCGGCATACGACATCCCCCATACTGCCCTCCGTACTCGGTCAAGGGGTGTCTCCTCCCCCCCCCCCGCTTCCGTCTTCCCCTCCTCCAAGCACACCAGGCTCCCCAGAACAACATCATCCTCGCTGAATCGGATGACAACGACCTCGAGGACCTCGGCGAAGAAGATGTTGAACAGCAGTGGGGATGGCACACATCCTTGTCGCACGCCCTGTGTCACGAAGAACCAGTCCGATAGTTCTCCGTCGTCCATGCGCACCCGGGCCCGCATTCCATCGTGGAATTGGCGGATGACTTCGCGGGAATCCCGGCCATGGCCAGCACCTTCCATAGCATCTCTCGGTCCACCGAATCATACGCCTTGTTCAAGTCGACGAAGAACATGTAGAGCGGTATTTTCTTTCTCCGCCCCAGCTCCTGGAGGCGGCGCACGACGAACAGCATGTCGACGGTGGATCGCCCGGGTCGAAATCCGCAATATTCCTCCGGGAGGATGTTGTTGGCTTCGCAGAAGGCGCTTAGACGGTTGGTGATGATCTTGATGGGGACCTTGCCTACGTGAGATAGTAGCGAAATCCCCCTGTAGTTGTTACAGTTGGACCGGTCACCCTTCTTGTACAGCACCTTGATGGTTGCATCCTTCCACTCTCGCGGAATATCTCCTCCGTTCCACACCTTGACAAGGATGGTATGGAGGTGTCCCAGGACGAAGGGTTCGTCGTCATCGATCTTGAGCAACTCGGCAGGGAGGGAGTCATGGCCGGGTGCCTTCCAGTTCTTGAGGCCTTTCGTTGCCCGTGCCACCTCCTCGAGTTCTGGCACATCTCCCAACCGTTGAGTGTCACGTGTCGCTGGCCGCTGCGTCACTCGTTCGATGATGTCTGGGTTCAGGGTGGGGGATTTGGTGTTGAGTAGGGTGCTGAAGAATCTCGCCCACCCCTGGAGGATGTCGTCCCTGTTCCAGAGCAACACGCCGTTTTCATCCGCGACGAACTGCTGTCCCCCCGCTTGTCTGCCGCTGAGGCCCACTGATCTCTTGAGGTGTTGGTACAGTCCTCGCATGTCGCGATCTTTGTAGATTTGTTCGAGCTCAGTCACATATCCGCCCAGGTGGGCATAAATGCCCGTTTCGACTGCTGTAGCCACTCCCTTACACGCTGCTTTGAGAACCCTGCACGTCGCTGAGTTCCAGTTGCCCCTCATCGCCCGGCGCGCTTCCCGACGTTTGGTAAGTGCCTGCTCCAGCGCTGCTCGCGTCTGTGGGGTCTCACACCACTCCTGCGTGCGGCGTCTCCGCGGTTCCTCCCCCAGGGTCGTCCGCGCTGCGTCGAGGAGAGCACTTTTGGTAACGTCGGCCGCAAATTCCGCGGCGGTGGTTGTTCGCTCGTCCAGCCGTGTGTCGAGGTTGAGGAGGAACCGATTAGTCACCGCACACCGTGCTGCTTCGAACTGCAATTCCCGCCGGTTGAAATGCTTCTGTTTCGGTCTAGTCCGGACTGCACGCGGTTGTGGGCAAGCCTGCCACCGAGGTTGACGGTGGCTACTACCATATTGTGGTCTGAGTCTGCTTTGACTGGGCGAACCGGCTGGGGGATGACGACNTGGCGTCCAGTAGGACATTCACACATTGTTTGGAAGGGATCCTCCGCACGAGACTGTCAAGTTTTCCCCCAGAACACGCGCTTGCTGTCGGCGGTTGAAGGTTCGGTTGGAGCATACGCGGCTACGAAGTTGACCGCTCCACGGTGGCCTGCCAACAGAAACCTCATGGCCGTAAGGCGTTTGTCGATAAACTCCGTAGTGAACGTGGATGTCTTGCATAGTGACTCTTCGACGGCTATCCCCACACCATGGACTCCACCAGTCTCCGTGCCACAGCAGAACACCCGGAAACCCGCTGCTGCAAATTCCGTTCGACCTGCCCTCCATGTCTCCTGCATTCCTACCACCGATACGTCTTGTCTCGCTGCCTCGTGTAGAACTCTGTAAGCTCGCCCGTATCCATTAGCCCCGTTTACAGCCAAAGTCCGCACATTCCAGGTTGCTACCCTGAGAAGGCCGCCGCAAGTCACATTCTCAACGGTTTCTCAGGGGCGCACACACGCCTCCTTAAAGTAAAAAAAAAAATGTGTCCACTCGAGACGTCCAGACCTGCCCCAGCTCACAAAACCTCCGACATCGTCCTATCTCCTGCTGCCTTAGGGATGGGTTGCGCTTCATCCAAGCCAGAAGAGGATTACGACAGCGCGGGAGGTGGATTAGGAGGAACGATAGGGAACGAGGCGGCAGATGAGGTACGCCTTCAAACTCAAACACATCTCAAACGCTGGTCCCAAATGATGACCATGAGCCGGACAAACAAGGATGGAGGCAACGTCAACAACAAGAAAAGGCTTGTGGGGATCCTGTGCCTCTCCCACACCACCTGCTTGGCCAACGCTTGCGATCAGTAATCGGCACATGCACTTGTGCGAGCGTCCCCGCCCGTTGGGGTTTGCTACCTCCACACCTTGACCCAGAGCAGCTACAACCCCAACACATCAACCCGTACCGAAAATTCGAAGGAAATTCGTTGGGCATTTGCTGTTCAGAGAATACCCCGTCCTTGGTCCGGAACCGTTCCAGGCGTTCTAGGATCGGATCTGCTCAAAGGTGGATAAACCGTCGCCGGTCGCCGCTTTTTAGCGCCTGTAGCAGGACGGCACTTTTTTTTATTGTTTGCACCCGAAAAGCCGCAAGTGCCAAGGAGCGAGAGAGCGTGAGAGAATCCAAAGCGCCTGCTATAGCAGCAGGTGCAGTAGACCTCGTAGTCAAGCTTTGAAGAGGTCAAGCGCCTGGCTTGAAGAGCCACCTACGGCAGCAGTAGACAGCGGCACTGGGCATCAGCGCTTTGCCCTCTGATGGGGTCGTTCTGTTCCAAGGAGTTCGATGGGGACTCTGCTGGGACCACTCGGGGCGGGCAAGGTCGAGGGTCCGCTTCCGATGAGGTTCGGGAGTCACTGACCTACCGTAGGTGGCGTTGGTTGAACCACTCGCCGATGAACAGCACCGGACTTGTAGCAAGGCAGATGGCCCCCAAAAACTTGAAATATTGTAAGAACAGCGTGTGCGTCACGAATACAACACATTATTTTGATACCAGCGACCAGCCAAGGTGGTCCAACCCGTGTGGCGGATGGCCTGGTAGGGCAGTTCTCGTATTGGCGTGTGCATTCCAGTGAAAGGAGAAGCCTACTCTGGCTGTTTAGACTAGGTCTGCAGCAGTCAACTGCTGCTGCATGCATTTTGTGTGTAGTCTAATGCTGTACCAGGACACTTGCCGGGGTGCAGAAAGTATTCTGTCATTGCTGCTGTACACTGAGCCGGGAAAACCTGCTGTCTCCTCTGTCCCCCGAAGCAGAATGTCTACGATGGTGCCGACAAGGTTGTTAGCAAGATGGCATGCTCTCCATAATCTCCTACAAGGCCTCTGCAAGTTTTTTTAGTTTCTTCCTTGCTGCTGCCACATTCCTACTTTGTAATTTGTGTGCAGATACTGCTTTGGGGCCTTCCACCTTGGGTCGTCTACATGCTGGCGATACCCACATAAACGGGCGTACACCTGCTGCGCTTCTACATACGATGACTAGAATACCCCTGCTGCTGCTGCTGCTGCTATTTCCCTACTATCTAAATGGACTGGTTTGCAAAATCTACCTTGACGGCCATGTGCATCGAGCGCAACCAAAATAACCCCTCTCTGAACTTAAACTTGCTTCCTTCACCGGCCTAAACGCCTAAACACGCCGCCTTTCTTTCGGCATTTGTGAGCAGCGGTGATAGGGCCACAATACATTTTGTACACCCGCGAGACTCGACCAAACCACCAAGAAAAACTCCGGTCCGTGTCTCTCAAGCCCCTGGCTTGTTTTTTTCTGCTGCTGCTGCTGCTGCTACTGTTTGCTGTTCTGTAGATCCGATTTGATCCTCTTTGTCTTCATGTCCAACTGTCCAACCTATATGTTAAACCGGTATGTCAACAAGCCTTCTTAGTCGGCAGCGGGGATTTTTTCGGTCGACGACTTCTCCTGCCACACATACACCTCCTCACACCATGTTTATTTCGCTCCTTTTTCTTTCGCCCGCCCTCTCGATAACTTGCTTTTCTTGTCGGCGGACAGGCGGCCTCGGTAATCGCGGGAGCCGGGCTTACCGCGCGTGTGCACCTGTCGCTATCATGCGACGGCTTGGCCAACCTGGACGTCGGAAGCAAGAGCGATCCTTTCGTGGTAAGATGACAACACATTGGGGAATTGGGGAATACTTAGTGCCATATATTCTTTATGGACAGGAACAAGGAATGGGCGAAACGGATGAACCCTCTTCCGATTCAAACGGTTTCATCTGCGCGGGAAAATGGAGTACACGTCTATGAGCTTCATCTTCTCGTCTTGTTCCCTACGTGCCTACGTCTGTATGTCGGCAACTACCCTTGGCTGCGTCGCTGGTCAACGGTTGCAAGTTTGCGATGCCTAGTCGCATCCGCGAGAAAACGATTGAATTGTGCACTCTACAGTACAGGATCCGATCCCCGTTCCTTTGGGCATGTATACCACCTGCGATGCGTCCCGATGGCTGTGTCGTAGCCATCCTGTATTGTTTCTATTGCGCCACGACGTTGGCGACGTTGTTGCCAAAGGAACCGCAGCGCCTTCGTGTTCGCGCTTCGTGTTTTCGGCTGGTGTTTTCGACTGTCCCTTCTCGCCCGGCATGGGACCATCTGTCTACGCGGAACGGGAAATAGATGGTCCCATGCCAGGATGAGAACGGGACAGAAGAGTACACCAAGGAGCAGATGAAGGCGTGGCGGTTCTCTAGCAATGACGCCGCCAACATTGCAGTGCGAAAGAACCAGGATGGCCACGCGGCGTGGGTGTGGAGTGAAATTGACGTCGTGCCTGTGTGCTAACAATGCATCCGTCGTCAGCGTGTCCCCGCAGCTATCCCCACAAATTGGCGCTGCTGTTCTCTGTCGCTGAACGGCGTTGCCGCGGCTGGTGTGATGCTCTGTTCCCGACACGCTGTTGATGCCGCTGTCGCTGCTACTGCTGCTGCTATCAACACGGCTTTGCCGTTGTAGTCCCGCAACTCTTGTTCCTAACCTCATCTCTCGCGGCGCACTATAATTATGTGCCAGGTGGTTTCAATGAAGTCGGGCAGCGATACGGGGTGGAGCGAGATAGGCAGGACCGAGGTGGTGGCTAACAACCTTTCCCCGAGATTCGTCACCCTCGTCCCCGTGGTGAGAAGACCCTGCTGTGTCTACAAACGCGACGGCTTTACTCTCTGCTCCTTAGCGTAGGAAATCTGCTCGAGTCACGTCTGTGCGCGTCTTGTTTATCCGCGAGAACGTTGCAGTTTGTTCCTTCTCTTTATGCATGCAAGCATGTACTACTTGCTTGTTTCTCGTTCGCGTTCGTTTGATTCTACAGAACCCCCGGAGTGCCACCGTTGTTGGACACCAGAGTACATGTATATCTGGAAGACATGCAGATTACCAGTACGAACGGGCTTCAGTGTTTGTAGTACCGTTGAAGGGGTTGGGGGAGGAGGGGTACCCAAAACAAAGCAGATATTTTCCCGTCTCCTCTCCATCTGCCTCTCCATGCATAAGGTTGCAGATACACGGCAAGATAAAGAATAGTTCAATCAATGAGAGGGGGGTCGCTCAGTTGTGGGAAGTGCCTCTGTGGTTCTGTACATTTTGTGTGAGCAGACAATGGTCACAAGACTCAGGATGTACGTCCCGTGCGACGATTCCCCCTGGCGGAAATGGGGGGTACCCGATGAAGTTTCGGTAGCGTACCCTATGAAGTTTCGGTAGCCAACGATTTCCGTCGATGTAATCCGTCAACGTCTAACGTCAATGTCTTCCGTCAATGCCTTCCATCCATGTCTTCCGTCAATATTCCACTGCCTGTCCCGCTCGTATCCTCCCCCCGCCGTGCTGTTCATGCGCGACCCTTCTTTGTTCTACCTCCCTCTCCGAGGACGTGTCCAGAGGTCAATAATAGCTACACTTG